TTGGCAACATTTGGGAAATCATGTCTTTTGAATAGGTAAGAGCACATGAATTTCCACAGAACATTCAGCTGCTTGTGTGCAGAGATTCAGAACTACAAAACCTATACCCATCCATCCAGCAAAGGAGGTAAACATCACACTGTATCTACTGGCACTCAAGAATGCCTATTTCTAGGCATTTCTAGTGCCTTGCAGAAATCGAATCAAAGAGAGATTTGGTGGATCTGCAGCCACGCAGTTAAGAAAGGGTACTATGAAACTTCTTGGAGATCTCCTAGAGGGAAGTAACAGTAAAGCAGTCTAAGAAACATAAGTAGCCATTATAGAATAAAGGCCACAAAATTTCTGTTCCCACAGAGATGATCAAATACAACTTGTCTGGCAGACAGCAGTGAGGTGTATATTGTATTATGCTATCCTTATGGAAAAAATCTCTTAGTGCATTATGTACTGTTCCTGTTATTGGGAGATATGAGAACAGATCTAAGTGATGATTTGATTAAATGGAGAGGGATACAAGGTCTGATCACTGATATTTATTTCTCCTGATAATGGTGAATGTACTAACAGTGTGTTGGTTTTCTAACTCTTCAGGGTGACTGAGCAGCTGCAGCAGCTGCCTCTGGCCAGCTCTGTACACTCAGCATGATGCCACATGCTATGGAATACTCCTTTGGCCAGCTTGGGGCAACTGCCCCAGCTGTGCAGCCTCCCAGCTTCTTGTGCCCCTCCAGCCTCCTCGCTGGCAGGGCATGAGGAGCTGAGAAGTCCTTGACTTGCTATAAACACTATTTAACAACAACCTGAAATATCATGTAGTGGTATCAACATGATTCTCATATTAAATCCAAAACACAGCACCATACCAGCTACTAGGAAGAAAATTAACTCTATTCCAGCCAAAACCAGGACAGTTATGAAGTTTGTAAATTGGTTATTCACCTCAGTATAGTAAGCACAGTGCTTAATACAACTAATACAGGAAGAAAAAAAATAATAAGACACTTCAGAGGAATTAAAGGAAATGTTCAATAGTTGACTGACAAAATTTTCTAGCTCGAAGCAATGTAATTATCTTGTGATATAAAGAGAAAAGGAAAGAGAAAGTGAATATATAATTGAAACTGAATTTCTTACACTATTGAAAATGTATACAGAAAAATTAGAATCCACACTGCAGTTGATAGCAGTGTAATCATGAAGTTGCAGCCACATTACTGCTCTCAAAACAGCTACCATCTCCTATTCTCAGTAGAGATGAACCTAATTGTACCTTGTTAAGATCCTTATTTTCAAAATTATTATTTCCTCATGTATTTTCCATGTGACAGAAGTCAAGTTGTTCCTGAGATGATAATCTCCCCTAATGTTTCAGAAATTATGATGGACCAAATCACAAGGACAGAGGAAAGTCCCCACATGAGTAATAGCTGCCTTGAAAAAATAAAGACCAGAGAAGTTATCAAAAATGTAAGGCATTACATGCTTTTGATTTTCAAGAAAAAAAGTAACTTTCACCCTTAGAATTATTCTGATCCTTTGCAATGCAGCTAAATATGAGTTCCCTACCAGACACATCTGAGTCATGTTCTCTTATATTGCTTATTACTAGTTTAACTAGAATCTGTAATTTGAGTTATGCAGTTATCAGCACTATCACTTTTACAAGCAAGCACAGCAAGGAAATTGAGAAATTCAGATACATAAAAACAATAATAGCAGCAGTAACAATACACAAATTAGCATTTCATCGTTAACACATTTCAGAGTGAGAATTTTCAACCCACTGGACATAAGGAGCATCCAGACTCATCTCTGAAATAGTGCATGGAAAAAATGGGGGCAAAGGAAAGAAAAAACAATTGGGTAGCATTTAAGTTCTGGACAACATCTTGGCTCATTTTCCATGCACATGACTCAGCATTACCATAATTGCTTCTTAAAAAAAAAAAATCATGCCTAGGTTTGTTTTGACTTTTCTCTAAACTGGAAAGAGTGTTTGTGGTAAGCATAATCTAATTGATGGTTATTAAATGATGAGACCATTCAGACAGATGTCTGATTCTCCATGGACATTTTTTCTCCAGGAGAAATAAGAAAGGCCTGCAGCCTAAGCTGTCTTTTCTGAATTTATGATGGCAGAAACATCCATCTGGATTAGTGTCATCTGCCATTTTAGCAAAATATTGGTGCCTGTAAGGCTTTCAGTGATAAATTATCTATGTGAAGGGATGATTCCATGTAGACCTACTGATTGTTTTTCTATTCAGATAATCTCAAATGAGGATTTTCTCCCAAAAGGCAATTATATTTAAGATCATCATCAAAACCATCCCCTAAAAATATAAAAGTACTAAATATTACTATGCTTCATACTCTACAGATTGTCTCTAGAAGTGGTAAAGTCTTCCAAAAACAGCTAATCTAAAAGGAACTGACACGATAAGTATGTTTTTGTTGCAGCTGTGATACTTGGGCAGAACCACCAAAGCCATCTTGAGTCAGAATTGCTGAAGAGGAACTCAATAAAGTGGAGCAGTTTGCAACTAGCAATGGATTTGTCCACTGCAGAAGTGTATAAAAACTGAAACAACATAGCAAATATATTCAGCCTTCAGAAAAACATAACAAAGAAGAAAAGAAGAATAAGAGTTGTCAAATAACTTGCTCACTGATTCAACATCTGTTCTTAAACAGATGTTTAAAAAACATCTGTACAGACAAAATTCTTTTCCCATAAAGAAATGCTACCAACAGATCCACTGCAGTGGATACTGTCATGAACACCTCGTGGATGCATCAAGCTCCCAAGTGCAGCCTGGTGATCCAATGCACACTGAGGCTCTTGCACAGACCAGCTGTGTGGCAGTGCATGTGCTATTTCTTACCCAATGCAAATGCAATAAAATGCCTTCATTAACATGAATAATATTTCATTAAAAGATGAAAGGGTCAGAGTGCATAACGTGGACGGTTGTGCGCTACTTTCCTTTTCCTAGCAGAGAAACATAAGTTACTCTAAGCAAGAAATAACAAATAAAATGCCTGTCCATTTCTGGTAATGCAGGAAAGACCATCAGCTGCTGTCTAGAAGTAATGTGAATATAAAACATAGGAGATTAGCACAAGCTCTTCCTGCTCTGTTTGACTAGTTGCTCTCCATTTCTACTAAGAGATAAAAGAACAAAGGATCTCATAACACAGGATTTTTGAAGGACTACAAGGAGAAAAAAAAAAGAAAAAAGAGAAACAAAATCTATTAATTACAGATTTTCATCAGCCCTGGATTAGAGGCCCCATCTTCTTTGAAGGTTCTATTTCACTGAAAGCAATAAGTACTAGCGCTACAAATAAGAAGAAAGAATGTAAAACTGGGTTAAATTGACAATTACCATTTTCCAACTAATACTTCTAACTACAGAACAGCTAATGTTCTTTTAATAATTTATCTCTTCACAGATTGTCTTCCCATAAGTACCCAGTTAAACAGAAGTGAGTAAATTAACTTAAGCTCTCTGCACCTCCTGTGAAAACGGCATGCTTAAGAACTTGTGCATAGGAATACAAACCTGAAACACAAACCAATGTTATGATTTTTAAGCTTCCTACCTTCCAAAAATTACATTTCTGAACCTTTTTTCATGTATCAAAATATTGAAAAAGCCTTCAAGACTAAGATAAATAATGCAACCATGTGAGTTGGTGACACTAAGGAGACCACTTCAACAGCAGGCATTTACACTTGAAAACTTACAATTTCCCATTATGAGATAGTCTATAATAAATTAATAAATTGCTCCAGCTCACTACACTAAACAGCAAATTGAAGAAGCCAGATATAATCTTATTTTATGTCTCCAGCAGCGGACACATCCTATGGAATTCATGGTACATACTGAGAATAAACAGAGATACTTTGTTTAGCTTTCAGACACATAAGTAAAGGAATACAAGTTCCAATATATTGTTTTGACTTTATGTTGGTGTACCAGGATACATAAATGGAAAGAAATAGGTTTTTCATTTAAATTGATTTACATTGCTGGCTGACTTTCATTCTTACACTGAAAGGAAAAATAAATGTTATTTATGCCCACAAAAATGATACAGTAATGAGCTGAATTACTACAGGCATCAATCTTGTATACTTTCCTGTTTTGAGATTCAGATTACAAAAATAAAAATTCAATTTTTTTGAAATAAATCAAACCATGCCTTCTGATATGATTGCTATCATTATTGCTTATAAATAGCTATTTATATCTAGCAAAATAAAATCAATAGCCATGTACCTTCTTTATAAAAACAGTTTGGAACTTAAGATGAGACTGTTGGAAGTTGGAGGGAGGGAGGCAGGAAGGAAGGCAGGAAGGAAGGCAGGAAGGAAGGCAGGAAGGAAGGCAGGAAGGCAGGAAGGAAGGCAGGAAGGAAGGAAGGCAGGAAGGCAGGAAGGCAGGAAGGCAGGAAGGAAGGAAGGAAGGAAGGAAGGAAGGAAGGGAGGAAGGGAGGGAGGAAGGAAGGAAGGAAGGAATTTAATTAATGGCCTTTAACCTGCAGGCTGAAGGAAGTAAATGAGCAGTGCATAAGGACAGTCTCAAGATAAGTGGCCTGTGAATTTAATATTTGACAAATAAATCAGAGAAGATCACTGTTATTAATTCTTTGCATAATTATGCATGATAAGCTTGAGAATGCTGGAGTCACAGAAGTCTTAAAATGGAAAACATTTCTATGTGTAAACAATCAGCTACTACTCTTGGTAGTCATTCACCCCAAACTTGATAAAAAGCAGACAAGATCTTCAGTATAACCACAGTATTACCCATACTGACAATCTGAACAGTCATTTCTATATGAAAACACATTCAGTGATCTAGCCTAGCATCATTTCCCTTACCGGACTGAAAAAATCCTTCACTTGAATGTGGCACAGTTCTGCAGAAATGTACATTTTTGTGTACATGCTTTATGTATTAAAGCCATCTGAAAATGCATCTTACCACTGCAGCTGGAACTTGAGGCATTTTTGCAGCTGGGGTTCCTGGACGTGGGTAGAATTGATTAATAAACAAACTTGGAAACCTGTACAGTTCTACAAGTTTCATCGTTTCTTGAAAATCTTCATCTGTCTCTCCTGGAAATCCACAAATGATGTCTGTAGCAATTGTTATTCCAGGCACTCTGTAAAGGAAGTGGAAAGAAACACTTAACTGAGGACATGTAGAAGTCTTGCACCTTAAAAGCTAGTGTACATAGACATATAACCCTCAACTTTATCTACAGAAATTGAGAGCTACAAGGATCTTGGGGGAAAAAAAGATTTTAACCCCATTGTTTGGTAATGAGAAATGCATCTGGTGCTCATCTGAGAGCACAGTAATAGAAGATACTGCAGCAAATACTGGATTAGGATTGTGACAGAAGAGTGAAAACATCTGGATCAACTCTTCCTTCAATCAAAATTAGAGGTAATCAGCACACCTCGTTATTTCTTGATCTCTGATTGCTTAATCCATAAAATGCAAACCTTTTGAGACTCAGTCACTAGAAAATGTCAACTATTTAATAGTTTATAAGGCTGCTATCAAAGTAGAACAGGATATCTGAAAGAGGGGACTGGCATGCCATATCACCTAGCAAATTTAACAAAATTGGCTTTAAAGCCAAAAATACATCTTTAGTCACAACTTAAAAATTGACTCAGTATTCTAAAACATCGGCCTATGCCTTGCTTTAAAAGGAAAACAAAATACTTAAGTTCACATGCACGGGCAGTGAGTTCTCTTGTTATTTAAGCAATGTCAACATTTCCTAACTGTTCCCCTTGGACTGAATATGCAGATCCCTCACACACACCAGGTTAAGGCAGCACAGCTGACAGACAACCCACAGACACAGAAGGTTGCACAGGAGAGGGTGAAGTTAGGGGGCTTCAGTTGAAATTGTGCCACTACCACCATCCTGGACATGGTGGGAACATGCCATGAACACTTTCCCCAGTAGATACTGGAGCAGCCATCAAGGCCTGCACCCAGACTGAGCTTTGTGTACAGTGGGAATAATGATAAGCATCTTCTGGAGAGAGGCAGAAACACATAGTGCTCCCTCTCGACACGGATGAGACTGCTTCCACAATGCAGAGTTCACCCCACACTGCCAGTAACAATGATAAACTGCAGAAAATATTGGAGAAAGGGAAGAATTCTATATAAATATTGGTGGTATCTAACTTGGAACTGGCCCTGTTTCAAGGAGGGGGAGTAGATGAGATGTCTTCCAGAGGTCCCTTCCAATCTAAATAATACTACAGCTCTTATACAGGGCACAGGCAAGGGAACAGAACAGCTGAAAGAGATTGTTTTAGGGGTGAATGGCATAAAGACAACTGTCACAAGCAAAGTTCACACTTGAGGTTAAGAAGGGGTCTCCAAGACTGTCTCTAACCTAAAGAAATGGATGGAAGGTTTCCCTTCCCCTCATCCGGTTAAGACAATGCAGAACTGTGAATGTCAGTGCATGTAATCCAAATTACATTCATAAAGCATTCAAATAGCCAATGAAAACTATAATTTCTTATTAGGAACTACATCACCACAGAAAAAAAAATAATGCTGTGACTATAGTGAGTGAAGAAACTTGATTTTGAATAACTGAAAGAAAAAATTCCTGAAAGAAAAACTTCCTGAAACAATGAGTTGTACTGAAAAAGGAAAACCTGTTGGCAAAAGACCCCAAAAAAGGGAAGCAGAGAATACTGTTCTTATTAATTTTATTAGGTGCAATATTAGACCATAGCTTATATCTACCAGACCAGTCTTCAGACAAATTGTACATGGTAGTAAATATATTTTGTGATTTTTTTCCCCCAAACTTAATTTTTTTTTTTTTCTGCAAGTTTTGGCAATGAGCTTATATTAATGCCTTGCCCTTCTTTTAGCATGTGCCTGGACATATAGGTAGCAGCACCGGAATTTATCATCTATTATTAGAATCTTCTTTCACCTTTTCCTTATGAAAAATCCCCAACAAAGAAACCAAATTATATCAATCCCTTTTTGAATTCACAAATTCAGACTCCACCATCTGAGTGGTGGAGTCTGAATGTGTGAATTTTGAGGTTAAAAGGTGGCATTTGAACAACAAATCAAAACCACTATAAAACTGAATATTTTCAAGGACTTGAAACAACAACCCTAAGTGGGAAGCACAATCTGGATGTTGTGCAGAAGAGCAGAAATTCCCAGAGCTGATGGCTCAGCACCCTCAGTCACCACTGCTTTCCCAAGACTGACAAACATCAAGACATGAACTTCTGCTTGATATCAAGTAACAATAAAATTCCTTATCTTTAAGGACTGAGTGAAGAGAGCAGCACCACACCCTGCAACATGATTTTGTTCATACCACAAATATCTTGGTACCAGTAGTAAGCTCATGGAAGAAAGAGTACTTTATAAACCAATGCCACCTAACATCAGCTGCCATTTCTCAGAACATGAACAGAACATTCATTACATTTGAAAAAACCATTATAATGAAGTTATTTTATCCATTTTAATGACACTATTGGCAACAGTCAAAGCATTTATTACCAATGGTAGTAGTAATACCATCCTTTATAAAGGCCTGGTTGTTTCTATAGCAACATGAATTATAAGGTCCAATCAAGCTAGATACAATAAAATATGCTCTTTTTCTCCATAACACCAGTTGTCATTCAGTTAAAAGGAAATTACATATTTTAAAAATTCATAAACTCTACAAATGTCTGAACTCCATTTGCTGATAAGGTGTTAATTATCTTAGTAATTAGATTTCTTCCTGGATGGAATTATTACACACAAAGAAAAGCCTGGATACAAAAAGAGAATAAGGACCACGGTGTATTCAGCAACAGCAATTAATTACAGTTCAATCCAGTGTAACTGCCTAAAATATGACATTGCATAGTGCATTTTTATATCACTGCTGATTATATTGTTTAACAAGCAGTTTAAAAAGGGGAGAAAAGCATGAGATTTCACTCAAAGTCCAAAATGACAAAAATCAAGCTCTTAAAGACTTTTCAAAGCAGTGATGAACAAAAATATGTACAATTAGTTCCACATGTGAATCATAATTTCTTAATGAAAAAAGAGGGGAAAAAGATATCATTATGGAAAAATATAAAACACATACACACTTGAAAATTAAAGTGACCTTTTCTCTGACAGCCTGAAAGAAAGCAGCACAAAACTCTTTATTACTTTGATTCAGATGATGTTTAAGAATTGCTCCATCTATGAAATATGATCCAAAATCACATAAAAACAAGTTCTTGTGCATCAGCCAATACTACTATTATTATTTTACACCAAATGCTGCTTATCTATTCTGAAGCAAACAAAGAAAACACTGCTGAACATCCCCTGTAACATTTATTACATAAACTCATTTATAGTTGGCCTAACTATTCAGTTTCTACAAATGGTTTTTAGGGTGTAGGATAGAAGCTCTACAACATGTTGACTGTCAATTGATAAGTTTTACAACAAAACTGTGGAATTTCAGAACAAGATGAATTAGAAGAATGATTAAAGCCATCTATAAGATAAAACATTTATATTTTCGAATATTATATTTTCTAACATTTATAATTTCTAATATTTATTTTCTCCCCTATGTCCCTCTACATATATAAATCCCTTCCCTCTACTAAACCAGACTGATGGTTTGCCATTCTGAACTAGACCAGAAATGCAAATCCCATCAATCCTGGGCAATTCTGAATACTCAAAAAAGAAGCAACTGCTTCACCTTACAGTGAAGACGCATCTGTTTTAGTATGATGCTGTAAGGGCCAACACACCCATGAGCAAGTGCTGACAGCACAGGTATCCAAACCTCACAGAAAGGAAGAACAAGATGTGTTTGAAAGAATACAGAAGAAAAGCAACATCTTGCCTTCTGACTAAAGAGGAACCAAGTCAACCTCTGGGGTCAGAGAAAAAAATCAGACCCAAGGACCTGACTGATGCCTGGAAGTCAAGTCATGGACAAGCGACTTAGAAAGAAGATAAAAGGGATAAGAGCTGACAAAAATAAAACAGCAAGACCACCCCCCCAACCCATCCCACCCCCATTTTTGAAGAGCGGTATTTCTAAGAAAAGCAGCAGCAAAATTGTGAAAATGTCTAGGATTCACTTGTTACATGGACCATTTAATGTGGTTTTAGCTACAGAAAACATTTCCTTTAGCAATAACCATTACAAACCAAATCCACGTTCCGGGAAGAAATTATGTAAAGCAGCTAAAATTATCACCTTCAGCTACTCACATGACCACTTGAAATTCTTTTGCATGATCACATATTCTTCCCACTTCCATTTCAGCAATTAACACTTAAATCCAGAAATAACTTAAAGCCACCAACTTGCTCTTAAGCAAGACCAGCTACCTCTACCCCTTACAGTTTGACAAAATACTGGATTCTGAATTAAAAATAATGGATTTGAATAAATAGCAATATGAATAAAAAGAAAACACTATGTAGTCTTACAGAAGGGTATGAGAACACCCTGTGTAATCTATAGTAATTAAAGTAAAAACAAAAAGTGTGATGACATAGCAACTTCTTGATTCATAAATTAGAAATTTGCATTGAAAAAATATTAGGAAAAAAACCCAGAATTTTTATGAAAATGAAACCAACCTACTCTGAAATGTTATTTCAGCATCATACATTATTTTATATTTTAGAATGCTTCCGCAGTATAAGCTTACTCAGAGAACATGAAATGGGGTTAATGGATGAAATAATTTGAAGGTATCTGAGTTGGTCTTTCAAGCGTATTTACAGAGCCTAACAGGCATCACAATGTGCTATTTTGTGTTGGAGCCAAAGGATGTGTTTGCATCTTCCCAGTGACCACACACAGTCTTCCAGAAGCCCTTTTCACTCCCTTTTCTCTTTTCTCCATCAGGCCTAGTCTTGTGGGATTTCTGACTTCAACTTTAATGGCACACTGAGGAGTCACACCAACTGGAGCTAGCACAAGAGAAACAGACTGCTCAGCTGGAAGCACCATCAAGGAACAACAGGAAACTTCACCCCGCTTCTCTCTTGGCTATATGGAGATTAACCTGAGGATTAAGCCATGGAAAAATCCCCACACTTTGAGAAAGGAATTCAGCCTGTTTC